GGCATATGTGTCATAGGTTCACCACCACTGGTATGGGCATTACCTCAATTTTTAAAAAAGGTAAGATATTCCACCCCTATTGAGCAGAAAAACATTCTACATCTGAGAAAGAAAGCTTTTTGTTCACAATGTCCTCCTTAAAAGTAGTTAAATATCTTAAGTATTTAGGTGTCTACTGCATACCAAATACCACGCTGGGGATCAGAAAAGGGCCACTAGACTACCATCAAAGCTGTCCTGCTAGAGCTTGGAAGAGGGCAGGCAACTCACTAAATTACTGTTATAATAAGAACGAGGAAGAAAGTATGTAAAGGTAAGAATGGAGGATACAGAAGGTGAGCAGGGTCCCAAAAAGAAAAGAGCACATCTAAGAGGAACAGGTATGCCTCAGCCCATGTAAGATTCAACAACTAGTTCAATGTAACTCCTACATTATAAGGACTTGGATGCTAGGAAATGGTTCCCATTCACCAAAGGGGTTCACCGCAGGGTCGTTTTACCTTGAGGTAAAATGACAAAGTTTTATGTTGTTTAATGTTTTCATGACACTTGCAGCATTGGCAATGTTTTAGTGTATCCACAAATATTCATATGCATTACTCATGTAATAAAAAATTCATTCAGAAAGTTGTTATACTGCAAAAACTATATACAACCAAATTTCTGTGTATTAGTTATGACTGCATTAAACGCATAAGGCATATACAAATACAATATATGGAGGGGTCTCATTTTTGGCTGAACACCGTTACAAATAAATATATGAACAAATACACTTTAACAGCCTGGGAAAAATCTAGATTGGAAGTTAGAAAACTACAGCCTATATAAATCAAATCTGGCTCACTTCCTTTTTTTGTACATAAATTTAGAACATAATTATACACTTTTATTTATATACAGAATTGCTCTGCTTTTACAACACAGTAGAAGAGTTGAATAGTTTCAGGGAGATCTTACGGCCAGTAAAGCTAAAATACTTACCACCTGGCTCTTTACCAAAAAACTGCCAGCCAAGCATGCCTTGTAATCCCTGCACTCCAGGGAAGCTAAAGCCAGGAGACTAGGGCTACATACCAAGTTTAAGGCAGGCCTGCACTATATAGTGAGACCCTATCTTAAAGGGAGAAAAAGGAAAAAAAAAAAAAAAGCATTCTAGTTTTTCATGTCTGATGCAATAATGATGATGATAATGATGAGAGACAGTTATTATTTTTTGTTTGGGTTGGACTAGGAGAGATAAGTCTTTGATTCAGAATCACATACAACATTTACAGATATAAACAAACGTAACAAAAAAAGACAAATCCAGATACATATTCAGTGGTCGGGTATGGTGGTGCAAACCCCGTAATCCCAGCACTGGGAAGGCTGAGCAGGAATATCACTGTGAGCTCGAGGTCAGCCTGAACTACAAGGTGAAAACCTGTCTTTAAAAAAAAAACAAAAACAAAAAAAAAAAACCATAGATATACATTCAAAATTATGGCAGTGCCAACAAGTGTGGTGGCACATGCCTAATCCCCCACTCAGAAGACTGATACAGGAGGATAGCAGTGAATGCCAGGCCAGCCTAGGCCATGCTACATAGTGAGTTCAAAGCCGCCTTGTGCTAAATGGTGAGACCCTATCTCCAATCAACTAATTAATATTTTTTTTAATTGGGGGGGCTGAAAGAAATGTATCACAGTTGTTACAAATTTGCCTCAGAGAAACATCTGAAACATAAAACAAAGTGAAATAAAAAGTGATCTACAATAATTAAATGTCTTAGTGACCAGATTCAATGATGATTTAGCTAAAGTTTTCATCACACTCAATAAAAGTTGGAAGAACCTTCCCATAGACAGCCATCATGATTTCAACAGAAAGCTCAAAAATTGTGCCATTAAACTCTATCATACCTAGACACTAATGGCTACCCAGAACCTATAAATGTGCATTCATTTAGGAATAGTAAGTCTTTTGTAGATGGTATCAGGTCATACTAGATTAGGATGGGTGCAAATTTTAAATGAATCCTGTCCTTAGAAGAGAAAAATGTGAACACTGAGATATTCAAGGAGAGTAATATGTGACAAGCAAGAGAAGTTGGACTCATGGGTCTCCATAGCTCCAAAACACCAAATATGGGTGGCAACCAGAAGAAGCTACAAAAGATGCATGACAACATATGCTTGTAATCCCAGCACTCCAGAGGTGAGGCAGGGAGATCACCAGAGTTCAAGACTGGTTTTGGCTACAGAGTGACATCCTGTCTCAAATAACAAAAAAAAAAAAAGGAAGGAAGGAAGGAAGGAAGGAAGGAAGGAAGGAAGGAAGGAAGGAAGGAGCTAAGAAACAGCAAGGAATAGATTCTTCTTCTACTTGAGAAGGAACCAAGCCTGCTCATGCCATGATGTCAGATTTCTGGCCTCTAGAAACATGACAGAATAAATTCCTACTATTTTTAAACTACCAATTTTTTTCTAAATAATTTGTTATAGGAACCTTATAAAATTAATAAACCCCCGGTTCCACCAAAAAAAAAAAAAAAAAAAAAAAAAGTTAATATACTCACCTCATTCACATTACAAAGTTTTAATAATTTCATCACTTGTTAGCATGAGAGGCCACAGAGATAGCTCAGCAGCCTAAGTGCCTGCCTAGGCAAGTACAAGGACCCGGGTTCAATTCCCAGTACCACATGCCATGCCAGTGGCATGCCAAGCCAGATGTGGTGGCACATGGCTGTAATTCCAGCGATGGGAAGGCTGAAACAGGGGAATCACTATGAGTCCAAGTAAGACCCTATTCAAATATTTAAAAATAAATAAATGAAAATAGCTGAATTGTTAGCATAGAAATATTTAGTTTCAGTCTAAAAATTAAGAAAAATATTCACCAAATGAAATTTTAAAAAAGTTTTTACTTCACAAATTGAGAACAACAAATGGAAATATAGAGCCTTTTTGGGTACTATCACAGTGATGAATTTGACATGAGACTATATTGGACTGCAAACTGCTGTCAGTAACCAGAGAACCAGTAAGGTTCTCCTAAAGGTCAATAAACACCTGTTTATAATAGCTACACAATTTACCTAAGCTGATACCCAATGGCTTAAAAAAAACCTACATCTTTAAGTCTTCCTGAGGCACACAAGCCTAACACAAAACTGCAGGTTTCAAGAAGCTTATCTTTCTTTCAGTCAGGCATGATGGCACACACACAGATAATCACAAATTCAAGAGCCCCTGGGAAAACAGGTAAGATGATCTCAAGAAAAACAAACACATAAATAAGGTGGGAGAAGATGGAAAATGGGGAAGGAGGAAGAGATGGAATAGAAAGAACAGAAAAAGAAAGGCATTTATCTTTCACATGTAGGGGCTGGGGAGATAGCTCAGCAGTTTAAATGCCTGCCTGGCAAGCACAAGGCCCTGGGTTCAATCCCTGCTATCAAAAAAAAAAAAAAAAAAATCAGGTTAATCACATTTAAAGCCTTTAATCTTAGAGCAATAAGGCCAATTTTTCCAGTGGTAATTACCAGTAAAGTGAGGATTAACAACCATTTTTTATCAATTCCAAGTTTCTTAAAACACTAATCTCCTTTAAGCCCAGATCTTTTTTTTTTTTTTTTTGAGACATGGTCTCAACTATGTATTCCAGGCTGACCTTGAATTCACAACGATCCTCCTGCTTCAGATTCCCAAGTACTAGAATTACAGGCATGCACCAGGCCCAGCTTAAACCCAGATTTAAATTATTTAGGTTAAAGTGAAACCAGTACAAGCATGGCTGGTTTAATAAACCAGTATGACAGAACGGAACACTTTCTAGACTTTTTTTTTTTTTTTTTTTTTTGGTATTTTAGTACAGGATCCACAAGGTCTACCTACAGGGTATCACTACATAGGTGTGGGCCACCAAGCCCAGTCTCAATTGTCATTTCAGGACGCCACCACAGCCAGTCTCAAGGCCATCTCAGCATGACCCGGGGGCAGGTTCAGCGTGGCCGTTGGGGAACCCCAGCCCGTGTGTCTGCCTAAGCAGGTGCTTTAATCTACTGAGCTATTTGGCCAGCCCTAGACTATTTTCAAAGTAATGACTATTACTAGGCTACATAGTTTTCCATTTTACTATTCCCATACAGTCAGTATTAACTAAAAGGAAGTATCACACAGGATGAAAAGTGAACTTCTGTCCCATTTATTTCCTAGCAAGTTATATTACTATATTTCTGATTTAATTATCTCTCGAAACTCCCAACAGATGTGAATTCCTTTACAAAGATATACCATATTGGGGGCCAGGGAGAAGGTTCAGTGGAATAAGTGCTTCCCTGGCAAGCGCAAGGGCCTGAGTTCAATCCTCGGTCCTGCCAAATAAATAAATAAAATGAAAAAGTAAATAAAACATAAAAAAAAAAGATATACCATATTGTTCTATGAGCAACTCCCCTGATTAAAAATTTACTGAACAACTTACAAGTACAAGAACAATAGAAACATTCCTAGGACCAGCCAAATAGCTCAGCAGATTAAAGCGCCTACAAGCAGATGCAGAGGCCGGGGGTTCAATCTCTAGGCCTGCCATGCCAGCCCTGTCACCATGGCACACTGAGATGGCAATTGAGACTGGGCAGGATAGCACACACCTATAATCCTAGCTCTTCATAGCCTATGAGTCCCATCTAGTAGTGAGACCCTCAACATCCTGTAGACCTTTCCCTAAAATTAAAAAAAAAAAAAAAAAAGATTCCTTTTGCAAAAAATGGGGATGAAGGGGCTGGGGAGATGGTTCAGTGGAATAAGTGCTTCTCTGGCAAGCGCAAGGGCCTGAGCTCAATCCCCAGTTCCACCAAAAAAAAAAAAAAAAAGAAAAAAAAATGGGGATGAAGCAAAGTATGTAAGTGTAAGGGACTGGGTTCCTTTCCCAGGGCAGGGCCTTGGTAAACATGAATTTTTCAGAAAAACCTGCCTCTCCTTATTTAAAAAAAAAAAAAAATCTTAACCTACCTTGTTTTCGAACATCTTCTACAGCAGCCATAAGCTCCTCTTTCAGAAATTGACTCTCCTTTGCAATTTTATCCCCCTTCTCCAAGAAATTCTCAGTTGCTTGTTCAACAGATGCAGCCAAAACATGGGCCTTCTTGGAACGACCTCTCTTCTTATTAGAGGGCCCCTTGCTATTGGTGTTGACCAGGGTTGTAACCT